AATTTCACACAGACTTGCTTTACCAAAAGGTGTTTTAATCCAGACTTGAGTGGACTGCAGCCTCGACTTCGCTTCGGTCTTATAAACATCTAAACGGGACTCGAACCATGACACTACAAGTGTCCATGGGTTACAGGGCACTCTTTCCATGTCATATTCTTTGGTGGAATTGTCGATGAAGTGAAGGTATCTTTGCCTAGACACATACTCTCGAAACCTCAATTTTGTACGAAAAATAATGCCACAATGTTGCTTATGTCTGCTTGTCGTGGCGAAAGCTGTTGAAAATCCACATGAGGCAGAAGTATTCCTTGCAGACTACATCCATGTCCCCTTCAGACCGGCAGCTGGTTGACATTTTGACTTTTTTAAATGATGATTTCGAAAAGTTGTATCTTGTTGCTGGGCATTTTGGCAGATTTTTTTCGGCGATGCGGTACTATTTGTGGATGGGTCTGTTTTATTGCTTCTCGTTGTTTGCTTGTGGCAAAATTTGTTGTAATCTTTCTCCAGATTCTGTCCGCGTTGTATGTGGCCAGAAGTGGGGTGACATACGGTTTGCCTTTGTCCATGCTTTCGTGTGCACTTGCCAGCTGGTACAGCATATGTCATTTGAGACAGTCTTGTCGTGTCCTGTTCTTCTCCGGTGCTCTGACGCGGTGGCTGTGTCCGACATGAGCTCGATTCCGCGTTGAGATGCTGAACTTTTGCCTGGAATAAGAGGTCCACTCAAAAAACGAGGCTCTTGCAAAATTTTCGCAAAAGTCAATTCTACTACTTATTCAGACACGAATAGGTCAAGCCTGTTCGAAGTTAAGCAAAAAAGCTGTGACATACGATTTGTCATTTACAGGCAAATGGCATCCATGCAAAGCTAGCAAAAGCATGCGATTTTATATCTTACTTTATAGAAATCAGTTGGGTACTTCACATCCAATACGCCCTGATTAAGCATATTTTATGATGGTACTGAAGGTCCACTCAAAAAACGAGGCTCTTGCAACATTTTCTCAAAAGTGAATTCTACTACTGATTCAGACACGAGTAGGTCAAGCCTGTATGAAGTTAAGCGAACAAAGCTGGGACATACGATTAGCCATTTACAGGCAAACGGCAATTGTATGCGATTTTATATCTCACTCTATAGAAATCGGTTGGGTACTTCGCATCCAATACGGCCAGATTAACCTTATGTAAAAATGGGAAGCAAACCTGTGTTTTTAAGAATTTCCTAGTAATATATTGTGATGTGGCTTTTCATTTTGAAGGAAAAGTTGCTTCGCATGGATTCGTGATGTGAAGCAACTTCACTCACCTGCAAAAATTTAGAGCAGGATTGATATAGCCAAGAAAATCATAGAAATTCGCATTAAGATCACATAATTGTCTGTATATAAAAATTAATTAGGGTTGCAGCCACCCACCTTTTTGCTTAGGTTGGTATATTTTTGCTTAATTTCATAAAGTAGGCTTTCTTCAAAAGGGAAATTCATGTCGCAATCGCTTGTAAAACATCTATTTTCATCTTACGGCCAACCAGATTATCAGTTTTCCTTAATTTGTGTATGTGTGTGTGTGTGTGTAATTGCATAAATTAGTAAAACATAGGAAAAAAGGTGATTAGCTAAAAATGAAACTTTGATTCTTTTCTTCCATCTGTGCATGTTTACTTTTATAGCACAATGGCTTGGCCATGTTCACTCTCCAAACAGGCCACTTCGTTGATTTCCAGTCTCCTTCAAATCGCTCCCGATGCTCGTCCCAGCGCCGGCCAAATCATACAACACTCACGAGCACCAGAGACAGTCGAAACGGCAAAGAGCAGCAGCGCCAGTGTGTGGGGCTCATGGCTTCGTGAGCAAGCATTTCCTCGAGCACACCCGAAATTCAGGACGACACCATCGGT